AGAAGAAGAAGAAGAAGAAGAAGAAGAAGAAGAAGAAGAAGAAGAAGAAGAAGAAGAAGAAGAAGAAGAAGAAGAAGAAGAAGAAGAAGAGGAGGAGGAGGAGGAGGAGGAGGAGGAGGAGGAGGAAGGAGGAAGGAGGAGGAGGAAGAGAAAGAGGAAGAGGAACAAAAAGAAGCAGCACATAATTGTAAAATTAATTAGAAACCTGTTGAAAATAAAAATACTTGGTACATTAAGTCATCATGTAAAAAATGCTCTTATTTTTATTTTTCCCTTCTAATGATACCATCTTGTTGAATGCATGGTCTCATCTTTTCTAACGCCATATCAATTCCTACCATCTTATTTATTATGTATTGTGTAGCTAAGACAACTGAAACTTACAGAGGCTGAGAGAATTTTCGTTACACATTGCACCTCATAAGTCACTGAGCTGAGGTCACAATACCTGCTTTTGTAACCCCAAATCTGGGCTTGGTTTCATGGGGTTGTGCAGCTCCTTGATCTCAAGCAAACACACAGGAATCCTCAGTTTAGGTAGTTTAATATCTAATGTTGAAATGTAGGTAGCATGTTTTAAATATTTCTCAGATAATACTTGTAATCAAGGAAAGAACTGCCTTAACTATATTATTTAGAATCTAATTTATATGAAGGCTGATCAAATATACAGAGAATATTTATAGTCCTAAAAAATTTATTACAGTAAAAGACACAGCGCCATCACTTTCCCTTAAAATACTCCCTTAGTTTTAAACACACTCACAACATCAGTGTTCTTGCCACTTTCGGAAGCAGTTCCTGAAGTTTTCTTTCATGAGTGCCTTCATGAGGTGTGATAAAAATATAGTGAATTTTGCTGCCAAGTGCTGTCCACCAGGCAGTCTTGCAAAGATACTGGTATGTATTCACCCACCTGAGTCACTGGATCTGGCACCATGTGCTTTCTGGCTGTTTCCCAAAGTCAAAACGACCATGAGAGGTAAAGGCTGTGAGTGGATTTGGGACACCAAAGCAGCCACAACTAGAGAGGACTTCCAGGACTGCTTCAGAGAGTGGCAAGAGCAATAGGCTAAGTGTGTTCAAAGTGAGGGGGGTTTTCTGAGTGGAATTAAGGGCAACGTGTCTTTTACCATAATAACATTTCAAAAATTTAAACATTCACCTTCTATTTTGATCATACCTCGTAATAACATCTATACTATATCCTATTCAAATCAATGAAATGAGGCTCAAATAATTATCAAGGGTAAGAATAATACTAACTTTTCATCTAAGCAAAATGTCAAAGTGATTTTCACATATTTCCATACTGTGATAAGATTTTTACCACGGCTTTTCATTTCTGTTAGGAATGTACCTATATCATGGGGTCCAGAACTCTGGGTAATATGATAAAACAATAAAATTTGCCCTCCTTTTGAGAGGTTTAAATCTCTTTGCAGTCATATTCTTCTTCTAAACTTAATCCGGAAAGGTAGCACAAGTTGGGGCAAGGGCCTGGTGGAAAATCTTTACAAAATGTTTTCTTGAGTTCACTGAGTAAAACAAAGCAGAGGCGTCTTCTCAAGAAATAATCTTATTGTCACTTTGCATACTTTGTTCAGCATTCATTACAGAGTGAGGAACTTCAGCAATATCAGATTCATTGAGATTTGAGGTTGTAAAGCTTTTTTAAAAACTTGGGTGGTGGGAAGAGCAAGAAAAAGCACATAGTATGTGCTCGCAGCACATATCTATATTAATATCTGATGTTGCCTCCTGATTCTACCTGAGCAGAAACTTGAGCCACTCCCTAACCTACTCCCTGTCTTCACTTTTGGCTCATTTTTTTCTCCACCTTTCAGATCAGCCTTCCAAATGTGGTTTTAAAATGGTGGGCTCAGTTCTCATCATCAATTTGGATAGCTGAGTGGCAGCATACCTCACCCAATTATTTGATGGGTGCTGACACCCACCGTTCTCACCACTTCTATACATCCCATATACAGGTAGGAGGGATGGGATGCAGGGAGCATGGTGTGTGAGAAAATGCATGATAAGAGTCCTGATGAGACACAAAGTAAGGATTGTGCATGCTGTGTACATGCATAACATAGACTTAGGATTTGGAGCATTTATGTTGCATCACACTATTTTGAATCAGTGATTTAGGAACCGTCCACCATGCTAAATTCCCTTTCTAAGCAAATGGATCTCACTGCTTACCACAAATTCACATTCTTTTCCTTATAAGAGAATTGGAAAAAAGCAATACATAATTTTGAAAACCACTTACAGTAGAGTGTGACTTGGATTGCCTTTTCCACTTTCCGATGTCTACACGTCACAGTGCACAGGTAGTGATCTTCATTCTCAAAACTCACAGAGCTCAAGGTCACTGAGGACTCGGTCCTCTCACTCCTCACCATCCCACTCAGAGGGCTGTCTCTCTGGGTTCTCCAAGAGAAAGACGGGGACTCACAACCTGTGACCCTGCAAGTCAACACAACGGAGTCCCCAACCTGCGTGGCAACCTGGTGTCCAGGGGAGATGTCAACAGTAAATGGTTTTTCTGAAGAGGAAGAACAAACAAGAGGACTAGCAGGTAAGTCTATTTTTCTTTCTTCATATTTTTCTGCATCATTATTATTTTTCCTGATGTCCTTTCAGCTAGTTGGACCCAAGAGAAATTACTCTTTTCTACCTTGGAGCTGTCAAAATGAGACCACATTGCTTAAGGATCAATCAGTAAGAGTCTATCAAATCAGATGATGTGGTTGGCAATCAAGAAAGTGGTTGGCAATTTTTCATGGCAAAAATCCAATTCCTGCCCTGATTGTTTATCAGATCATTATAATAGTGAATAATGGATCAAATAATTCCCATTTTTCCCATGTGTCAAGCATTAGGAATGACACTTTATATGCATTATCTCATTTAATTTGCACAATAATTGCTGCACTGGTACTTTTATTTCCCCTGCCTTCTCATTTTCCTTCTGCTTCTATTATTTCTTTTCCTCTTCTTCCCTTCTTCTTTTTTCTCCAACAGGAAATTTTTAAAATTTTATGTAATATATGTAGCTATTAATAAATAATTTAAAAGCACTCTTCTATGTAAAAATAAAATTCCATGACAAAATAATTAGGGAATAACAGCTAATACACTGTGCATCATAATCTTAAATCTCCTACAGGAAGTTTAAGCTCAGAACGGTTAACTTTACCCAGCTTTCAAGTGGCAAAATCAGGACTTGATGCAAGGTATGCCTGACTGAAGATTCCAGCTTTTCTGTTGCTGAAACAACTAACTCAGGTCATCCTCATGTAGAGATAAAGCACGATGTAAAGAAGGTTCTAGAAATAAACTACCCCAAAATGTCATCTAATGAGATACCATATCAACAGTGGACCAGTGCTTAGAGCTGCTGTTCAACAATGTCAAGTTGTGTCTTTGGGAGTTACACTGAAAGCAAAGTAAAATTTTAAGCCTTAAGATGATAACATGAGTTATGCCTACAATTTGCCTGATGCAATGTGAAAATACTTTGCAGTTATCTCAGGGATCTAAAGCTGAAGGGTGAGGTCCAGCTGCTAAGTCTGAAGTCCTCAAGTGCACAGGTTTTGATTGGGGGACTGTGATTTTGGGAGGACGTGAATTCCAAATCTCGACTCTAGTCCCCAGAAGAAACTGGAAGCAGCTGGGCAACTCTAGACAGTGACAGGTGAAACTCCGCAGGAAGGCTCTGGAAGGCTTCTTTGTAAATAGAAGGCAGCAGACTGAGAAGGTACATCACACGAATTATCCAAGGATGCATTTTCCATGGTTCTCATCGATGCCAGGAAAAGTTACTTTCTTGACTTAGTTTGTGTAAATATGACATCTTAGTATTTTCCAAAGACTCTCCTCTAATTAACTCAATAAACTCATATAGACTTTAAAAGAGAGATCACCCAGAACAATAAGCAGAATTTCTGACATTTTTGCATGCTAGCGTGAGAATGAGGATCTTTTAAAGCAGATCCACTTGCTGCCTGTGGACCGTTCTGGCTACATGTATTACTGTAACTCCTTGGGGAGGAGATCCTGTAGGTGCCTAAAAGGTCTTTGAAGGTTCAATTGCATCTTCAGTATTTAAGACTGTTAATATCCCCTGTGATGCAAATTGCAAAATTCTTCCCAGTCCCAGAGCACATTTCCTTTCCACATTGAAATGGGATCCAGCTTAGGATGGGATGGAACAGTTCCAGGATGGGAGATGGGATTTACACATTTTATTAGTATAGTAGCTTTTCTGGTCCCTTGAGAATGCTAACCTAATACCCAACTGAGTTTATCTACTGATGGTGAATTTGAATTTTATTTTTCAATCTTTTAAGATTAAACTTCATATTTTTATACTTAAAAACTTGTGTAGCCCATATTTATAATTTATTCATGTATGCAACAAACATTTACTGAAAGCCTACTATGTGTTAGTCAAGTGCTATACTAGGTACCCAAAAATTAAAGTACATGCATGCATATATACACACACACACATATGCACACATTTACATAGACATACAAATACATAGTTCTTGACTTCAAGGAATTTATAGTTTAGGGGATTGACATATCTAGAGTATTTTGGCTCTTACTAAATTGCATGCCCATCTTTCCTTCCTAGTTTGTAAGCTTCCACAGGGCAGCTGCTCTGTTTTTCATATCTGTATTCCAGCAGATATCTGTATTCTCCAAGCAGTGGACAGTGTGAAGAAGACAGTGTAAAGAGCTTTTCTTGGAGAAAAGCTCTTAACTAGTATGTGTCGGACTGCACAGAAATGTATACGTGCCCATAAAAATTACTGAGTGTATATGAAGGAGAGAGCAACAAGTTTGCCTGATACAGTGCGGACCTGGGAAGCTTACAGAAGCTTTGTCCCGAAGAATGGCTAGGACTTGGCCAGCTGGAGGTAGGGGAAAGGTCATTCAAGGTAGGAGAAAGGCATGAACAAGACACAGAGCACCAACAAAGCCACAAAGGTAGTTTCTGGTCAGAATGTACAGTTAGTTATATGGGACAATTCTAAGAAATCTGGCTAGAGTCGTAAGAAATGAGTACTTTTTAGTTTCAGGCAATTAACTACGATACCAGTGCATAGGATTGGTTATCTTGGGAACAGAATGATAGCAGGGAGGTCACATAAAGCAATTAGCTATAAAACACAGTGGAATATTATTAAGTCTTTGAAAAAAGGGATATCCTGCCATTTGGGAGAACATAGATGAACCTTGAGGATATTAGATAAAGTGAAATAAGCCATACATGGAAAGATGGATACTACATGATCTCACTAACACAGAGAACCTAGAAACATCAAATTCACAGTAGAGAGCCCAACAGTGGTTACCAGAACCTGGGTGGAGTGAGAAGAAAATGGGGAGATTTTTGGCCAAAAGTATAAAGTCTCAGTTAGGAGAAATAAGTTTTTGAGCTATGTTACACAACAAATTAACTGTAGTTAATTTTTTAAATGTACTTTATATTTAATAACAGATAAGAATATAAATTTGAAATGTCTCACCACAAAAAATGATAAGCGAGGTGATGAATATGTTAATTAGCTTAATTTAATCATCCTACATTGTATAACTATATGAAAACATCACATTGTGTTCTGTACATGCATACATTATGATTAGTCAATTTACAATATTAATTAAAAATTAACAACAATTAGGTACAATAAAAAAAAACATAATATTTTAGAGGACAGTGAGCCTGTGAATGCTATTTGACCTTAGGAAATTATGAACTACGTTGAGCCTGAGTTTTTATCTACCTTATAGAGTTATGGTAAAGATTAAAATAATAATATATGAAATAGAATATAGAACTCCTGGCCAATACTAGGTATATGATCAATAGGTGGTATCGTTGTTAATCTTTGTGAGACTCCATTCTGTCCTCTGTAAAATGGGTATAAAATAATTACCTTTTTGTTGTTATTTCTTAAAGATGACAGATAACTTTTAGAAAGTGTCAGAAACATAGCAAGTGTTCAATGTATGCTGCTCTTTAGGAACATCTTCTGTAAGTCCAGGTGAGAGATGACACAGAATGGAAACATGAATTTGGGAATAGCCAGCACATGCTAGTCCAGTTCTTGACTATGTCGAGTGAGAAGAAAAGAAGATTGGATGCTGGACATGGTCACCTGAAACACATCAATACTCACAGGACAGGAGGAAGACAGAAGCCAATGACTAAGGAAGTAAAGCAATGGTGTAAGCTAACAGTTAACCCAAAAGGCAGAGCCGTGGAAGCTCAAGGAAAAAAGACTTTAAAAAAGTACGAGTATAATAAATATATATTGCTATATATTGGCACAGCGCATGACAACCAGGTCGTCAGTGAAATGTGGAGAAGGAATCTGAGCACTGATGCTGTGTCATTTCTGCTCAGATCCCCATGACAGCACCTTAGTCGTCCTTTTTTTTCCACATTCTACTCACCTTGAACAATTAATTCGACCTCTTTTCTGTTTCTCCCGGCCGGATTGACTCCTTCACAGACGTAAGTTCCAGAATCTTCCATTTTCATGGCAATTAATGTGAGAGTTGCATTTCCTGAAAGAAGCTGAAGATTCCCATTGTCTAGTTTCTTGCTCCAGAGAATCTCGGGAGCTGGGAGCCCCTCACTGGAACACGTTACAGTCACAGAGTCCCCCTCTTGGAGGCTCGTGGCAGGATGCACGGAGATTGCTGTGTTCTTGGGTGAGACTGCAGAGGCAGGGAATAATGTTAGCAATCGCTGAGCACCATCTCAGTCCAACAGAGTTAATGTACTTCCAACTTCTGCCAAGTTAGTAAGAGAACTGCAGAGTCACTATGAATAGCCCATCTAGCTTCTGATTAACTTAAGTTACCTTTTTGATGTTGGATGTTTTCAGATAGTTGTGGATATTCTGAAATGAGGAAGAGCCCTTAGAGTCACGTGGCTCGTCTGATCAAGACCTCAGCAAAGTCAGCTTCAACATTTTCTGAGAGACGCAACTCATTGCCTTGCAAAACAGTGGACTTGGTTTTTTATTTTTTATGTTTTTGGAGACAGGGCCTCACTTTGTAGTGCAGGATGGCCTTGAACTCATTCTGTGGTCCAGGCTGATCCTGAGTCCCCAACAGTCCTCCTGCCTGAGCCTCCAGAGTGCTGAGAGCAGGCGTGCACCACCTTGCCTGGCTGTGAACTTGAGTTTTAAACACCTTTAGTTATTAGAAAAGTATCCTTTTCAGCTCAGTGCTGAAATCTCCCTCTTTGTAACTAACGTTTACATACTGGTCACAGTGTACTCAGTCCTCTGATGTTACAAAATAAATCTTTCACGTACAACTGTCTTTCAGGTATTTAATTAGAGCTTTCTTACCCAAGTTTGTATTCTCTGGGGAAAATATATCCTTTCTTGACTGTTCGTTTCAAAATATTGTTAAAATCCTTCCATCACATTTTCGTTTGCCTAAGCATGCACTAGTTGGCAAGAGTCCTTTTAAATGTAGCACCCAGAGACGAGCACAGTATTTTAGCCTCAGGCATAGCACAGGGAGTCCACTTGGACCCAGTCCTAGGACAACAAGACCACTTCAAGTCCCTCTGTACTCTCAGGGAAGTGGGAAGCAGTGAAGTTCCATTGCACTCTCCCCAGCCAGTGCACATATGCATGTGTGCGCCTGGGTGTACATACACATACACACACATGTGCATACTCACAGAATAAGTGCTCATGGTGTCATTTCTATATCTGTGCAGTTAGTATTTTAAGGCTTACTATAAGAACTTTTACAAGACATGATTAAAAATATTTTATCTTTTCAGCCTATTTCCTATTACCCAATCAGGTAGTAGCACTATTTCCCCCTTGACAGAGAACTAGAGAAATTAAGTAACTCAAGGTCATGCAGTTAACAGAGCTAGAAATTAAGCTCAAATCTTCTCAGTCCAAATCCACTGTTCTCACTGAATTGTACTACTGGAAAAATTATGTTCTCAATAAATAAAAGTGGAATAAAAACTAGTTTTATTGTTAAGCTAGTTGTTCAGTGTGTTGTAATACACATCCAAGTTTGAATTCCCATGAAGACTAGAGCGTATCACACAACTACTTACTATAGACTTGCAGTTCTTTGTTCGTCTTCCTTTCTTTGGGACTTGATTCTTCAGAATCGCTTACATCCATGTGTAATTTAGCTCGACAAACAAGTGATTTTCCAGTATCCTCAATGGTAGGAGTAAAGGATACTTCGAGACTCTTGGTTTCCAGGGACTTCCTCTCCATATCTTCTAGAAATTCCTGATTCTTCATGACAGTGTCATCTTTCAATAACTCCACCTCCAGTCTGTCAAAGGGGTATACATCAGGGACTATACACTTGACTTTGACGGGCTTCCCAACCTCCAGAAGGGCACTCAAATGAATCTCTGGATCCTTAGGGAAAGCTGTAAAGTCAAACAAATTATGAGTGGAGTTTCCGCTCATGTACATAAGATCATTTACTATCTTAACACCATGCAAATTGAATCTACTGTTTTGTTAATACAGTTTTAATGCAGCATAACAAATTGTTTAAAGAGCTTTCTGTGATTCAGGTTGGGTTCCAGAAGCAAATGAGAAAAAAACTGTTCAGAGAATTCTTCAGTTTTGACCCTGTATACAAGTTTGTAACTCATTAGACTAAAGGAAGGGAGAAAAAAACTAACGTCTATTGAAACTTCTATGCACCTGTCTCTGTGCTATAGATTCAACACAAATGATTGTATCTCACCTTTACAATAATCCTAAGAGATAAAGAAAACATTCCACAGATATAAACTTGGACTTAGTGCATCACACAATTTGCTTAAAGTCACACAACTACTGATGTTAAAGCTGGCATTCAAATCTAGGATTCATATCACTTTATATGTTACTGGGGATTAGTACTATGTCAGAGCATATTCTCTTATTTTAGTCAGAGCATATATAGATCTATTTTATATGTAAGGAATCCAAAGATGGGCTAAGAAATAAAAACAGCAACTTGAGGTAGTTGGCTTCTGAAAATGGAGCTTGTGAGAAGAATTCACCCACCAGAAAGGTACACGTGTACAGTCCTTCAGTCTGGGATTTTCTTCTTGTAAAATCTAACTTAATGTCCTAACCAGTACTGCACTGACCCTTCCGGTGCAGAAGGACACACAGCTTCCTTGCCTCCTTTGTACAGGTTACCTTTCTCAGTACATTCTCTCATCATGTAACTAACACTTTGGAGGACTCGAGACTTTGTGTAGTAAGAAGGAAATAAAAGTTCAAAGAACATCATAACCCAATGCGGAATGGAAACAGAACTGTTAAACATAATGAAAAACAGACATTCTTGGAGGAAAAACTCCCTGGCAAGATAATTAAAGCCAGAACTGTCCTCATTTCTCTTTTGCTAAAATCTTCAACTATTTGCTACTTACAGGCAAAAGACAAAGGAACAGTGCTTTGCTATTGAAAATACAGTATTTTAAAATTTCCAACAATTACTTCTTTCCCTCCTATTCTGTAAGAAAGATGCTATAGTCCCCTCAGTTTTCTGGCAGGTAATATAAGAACTTGCTACTTTTCCTTGTATTTATATAAGGCGACTTTCCAAGGCTCTCAGGAGCCTGGGCAGACATAAAGTATGTGTGTACAATAAGCGTAATTGAAAGCAGCCTTCCTGGCACAGTTTCCTGGGAAGCTTTAAAACACATGGGGCTTGTTGAAATTTCAATTAAGGTTACTGGGCAAAGCTGGAATCCAGTACAGTAAAAAGGAACCAGTGTAATTATCAGCTCATCAAATAAGGTCTTCATGAAGAAATTACTATACATGAGTACAACGTGTGAGTACAATTTTTTAGAAAAAAAAAAAAAAAAAAGAGGCCACCAGAAACCAGAAAGTCCAATAACTGACATAAGGTTAGTTCTTACTCTTCTTACTAACACTCTTTACTGACTTGAGAGTGGATTAGAATGCATTTTTGGTAGGCTGGTAAACTAGAGATATACATTCATGAAGCAGACTTAATTCATTACACAAACACCTTTTAGCATCCAGGATTTATGGCAACAAAATTCCTAAATTTATTGACATCAAGGCCATATGAATGAAATGTTTAGATATATTTTTTATTATATCTAAGGAGAAGCATTTTATTCTGTTTTTTTTTGTTTTTGTTTTTGTTTTTTAGTACTGGGAATCAAACTCAGGACCTTGACACTTGCCAGACAGGCGCTTGTGCCACTGAGCTATATCCCCGGCCCTTTATTCTGAAACATATTACTAACTGATAGGTCTTCTACTGAATCTTTAAACTGACTTTAAAGCACCAAATTGCATCGGAATAAATGAATGGAAAAATCTCTGTGGGATTCAATTTATAAATCAATTGTATACATGAGCAAATAAACATGTATGGACATAATCAAATGGAAATTTGGAAAAAAAAATGCATCTTAGAGACTTTCATTTTCATACCTAAAGAAATTGGAGCCCAGGGGCTGGGGATTTAGCTCAGCGGCACAGCACCTGCCTGGCAAGTGTCAGGTTGTGAGTTCAATTCCCGGTACCAGAAAAAAAACAAAACAAAACCAAACAAAAAAGAAATTGGAGCCCAGAGAGATGAAATCTTATATTAACTGGTTTGCAGCTCAGCTGGAAATAAAAACTTAAATTAGTGCTAACCTCATTAGTCTCAAGATTTCTTGTTGCCATGTGTTTTATAGCCAGATGCTTGATGCAAATATCATTTTAAAAGCTTTCTCTGCAATATATCTTTAAAAAACAACTTTAAAGCAAAATTGAGAGAAAAACCGAAAGTTCTTTAAACCACTCACAGTAGACATGCACTTGTATCTCTCTCTCCTGTTTCTCGGATCCACAAGTTGCTGTGCACAGGTAGGAGTGCTCGTTCTCGAAGCCAACCGGATCCATGGTCAGCGAGGACTGGGTGCCCTCGCTCCTCACCTTGGCGTTCAGCGGACTGTCTATCTGTGTTCTCCAAGAGAAGGACGGCGACTCGCAGCCTGTGGAGCTGCAAGTGAGAGAGACCGAGTCGCCTATCTGAGCAAGAGTCTTGTATTCTGGGGAAGTCTCGATTTTAAAAGCTTGGGCTGTAACAGAAAAAGAGAGAGAAGTAAATTCACTGCTGGTTTGTCTAGTATCCTACTTCCTTTTCTCTGTGCAGTAAAATATCCAAAGTGTGGCCCAGGTAAGCTTTTCCTCACGGCTTCTAACTCCACCATGGCCAAAAATCAGTGAAGCCACTGCCAAAGAAGGTGTCGGAATCACCTTCACTTGTAAGAGCTCCCACTTCCCGTCCTGATGCTTATTTATCAAACTTATTCCATTGTTTGCCAAGTTTGACCTCATTGTCAAGTACAGGAAACTAAACCAACGGACCTACTAAGATAGAATCCAAATTACTCATTTGACATTGGAAAAAAGGTATTAAATGCACCACTTTGCAGCTCTAAGTATGACAGCATAATGGTATATATCAGAGCTCAACAGCACATTAAAAACTTGGTGAAATAAGTTTTTCTATGGTTTAAAATCCTAGTTTCTTTCTTCACCACCACAGTGCAACTGGCTGAAGCCAAAACCGGGGCTACACAGAAAGCTAACATTTGGAATAGATCAAGAACTTACAGGCTGCAAACACTGCCCAAAGTATCTGCGAAGCTCCAAAGATCATGGCCATCTTCCCAGGCATCTTCAAGTTGCTTCTGTGATGAGAAAATGCAGATTCCAAACCCTTACTTCCGCCGCACCTGAAAGTGCCTGGGAAGAGTCTTCAGCTCCTAAAGCCAGAAAGGCTAGTGTGAGTGAAATAGAAAGTCCGTTCTTTATAAAGGGTCGCGCTGCAGAGGCGGAGGGAAATCCCTTCAAGGGGAAACCCGGGGCAGAGCCAGAGAAAAAATTTAACTGACACCCAGCCAAGTCCCGGAGTTAACCCCTTCCGCCGCTCTTAGTTACCGTCTATCCTGGGAAAACAAGACGCTTCCAAGATGTGGAGTGCAGGCTTTTCCTGGTCTCCAACTGCAAAGGGATATCTCTGCAAGGAAGATAAAGGAGTGCTGGCGGCTGAACGAGCTGTCTGGAGCTAATGGCCAGGCAGAGGACTTCTCCTCTCCTTTTTAAACGGGATCGATGATCCCATCATGTAAACTGACTTTCTCTGTTAAGAAAATATGTGTGCAATCCTAAAACAGAAATTAAATCTTCTCTTACAACAAAAAGGAAAAGATTCTTTTGCTGAGTCACTTTTTAAAAAGTGTCGGCACAACTTCTTAATTTTATACTTCTTATACATCAGACTAATTCTTTGGATGAAGAAACATCAACTGTCTGAAACCATTTTCTTTAGTGGAATGTAAAGGAATGTAAAGGAATATTAATACCAAAATAAGAGAAATAGGTTTTCTCTTTCGTTGTAGAAAAGTTCCCGAACCTTTGATTGAATTGCTGAATGAACTAAGTTTTGCAGATTTAACTGCAAAGACATGGGATACATTGGATAAATCTTTTCTGGTAAAATTTTTGGGGTATTTGATTGAATAACAAACACAGATAAAGCATAAAAAATAATTTATCTTTTGTTATAGGAGAGGGGATGTAACCAATGCTATATTATTTTTTTTTCTTCCCAGTGAAGTAACTTTTAAAGTTTCACTTGACTGGCTATTTTAGTATTGCACACGTATGAGACAGCTCTTCGCCAAGTGCTTGTCCATCAAAAAGAAAATGGGGTGGTCATGTTCTTGTGTTACACACATGAAGTTCTACTTCCCCCACTGGATTATCAGTTCCTCTGACAGCCTAGCTCTTGCTCATCATTGTATCCATTTCTCTCATACCTAATAGTGATATGTAAGTGTAACTTCATCTACCAAATGTGTAGGGATCAGAAAAGTAGATTCAGGCAAAATTAGCTGACAGTCAACTAACTTAAAGTGTCATGTTTGTATCATGGCAGATTATCAGCATCATGTAAGTTTCATACTCAGCTTCAGAACAGATCTAAAGGATTGGTAAGACCCAAAATGGGATCACTGACAAAGTCATGCTACATTACATCACTTCGGAGTTTGGATATAGTACCGCCTTATAACTTTGGGAGAGTGCTAATGTGTTTCTTTAACGCCTAGTGGTCTCAGCAACTCTCTGCTCAAGTCCTTTATGAGTTTCGATGTCATCCTAGTTCTGCCTGCTCCGGGGCTGAGTTGAGGGCACCCTATTGTGTGACCTCCTTAGTTCTCATAGGTAGAACAGCGCCATGTTGCAGCCCCCCGCCCCCCGTGGTAACACACTGCATTCCCTAACTTGCTAATGCACATGGTTTCGTGTTTCATCTCAGCGTCTAGCCCAGAATTAGCCACCTATGGCTTAACGGAGTGGCGCAAATGACTTGTTTCATGTGGCATCAATGAGCATAGCTTTGCAGTGTAGGGTTAACAAGTGAGGATTTGGGGCTGGGGATTTAGCTCAGCGACACAGCACCTGCCTGGCAAGCTCAAGGTCATGAGTTTGATTCCCGGTACCGGAAAAAAAAAAAATAAGTGAGGATAACTTCTCTGAATAGAGTTATTAGGTTTTGTCTTTGAATTTGTTCTGATTAACATTTATATCAGTAACATGGAGCCCATAATTGTTTAATTTGCTTAAACTGTGAGACTAGGAAAGAGTTAGCCTTACAGATCCACATTAAGATAAGGAAGATCCCAAAAGATTTAATAATGGTGTACATGAGGAGGTAAAATTTAATATGAATCCACTAAATCCAGCAGGTAAGTGTAACCCATAGGAAGGTGCCCTTGTGGTTTTAGTCAACCATAAAATGAGCATGAGACAGCACTGGCACGAGAAACTAACCCTGATGAGCCCAGATTCATTCATAGTAATTTAACCTTCTAATCCTGTAAAGAAAGAATTTCGGTGCACTGTACCCTCGCTGGAGCAGCCCAGAAGCAGGGGTGTGTGATTTGGGGTCTCTTTTCTTGAGAAAGAGACTTGACAAAGCAGGAGGTTCCTGAAAAGGGTGATGAAGACGTCAGACAACTCCACAGCCCCTCCCTAGGAGAACTGTTGAAGGGATGGGGCGTGCTTTGTTGGAGCGCAGACACCTAAGCAGCAATGTGATAATCAGATGAGTGAGGAGGGATTTACTTCGTTCCCCGTGGTCTATCAACATCTAAAAGGAGGACTCATGGACAGGCGATTACTAAATTATTTCACCTAGAAGGGCCAGGAATATACACGTACGGTTCCTTCTGCGCTTCTCACAGCGACGGGCAGATAGTAAAGGCTCAGGAAACCATTTCTGAGTGGATAAATTGTAGCACTTTGAATGAGTACTTGATCAAAGTCAATAAATAGTCTTGAGTTCAAGTCTAGGACTCCACCTAGGAATTGTGAAATTGTACGAGTGAGTGTACATAATCTCTCTGAGTAGGTCTACAAATGCTCAGAAACAGATAAAGTACCATTTCAAAATGACTCATGCGATTTTGTGATTATTAAATCAAAACTGATCAGATGATCTGTTTGAATAATGTTATAAATGGTATATAATAAGATACAGCCATATTAAGTTCATGATAAAGAAAGACTTTCCTGTTACCAAATCTTTTCCACAATGCAATAGATTGCTTTATGAATTAAACAGGTACTAATCAGTGCGAGCATTCAAGCAAACTCCCCCCCCCCAACCAGGAATTGAACTCATGACCTTGTGCTTGCCAGGCAGGCGCTTTGCCGCTGAGCTAAATCCCCAGCCCCTTCAAGCAAACTTTTGATGACGTCTTTGAACAATGTAATAGAGGTCAAGTGTTGCCTTATATACAATATCCAACTGGCTGGCCCGCTAAGTCATCTTCCAATGCCAAGGTTCTTTTATCACAATCAGGGCTATCTATCCTTTTAGCTCAACTTCACCAATCCCCTCACTGAAATTACAAGCATTTTTGACTCCAGGTGGTTGCACTTTGAGGTATTTCACACATGCTTCCTTCAGACTGACTGAACACATAGCAACTCCAGGTCTTTGAATACTTTCAAGCATTTTATTTATGATTTATACCAGGCCTTCTGAAGCAGCATCCTCTGACCTTTCTTTCTGAGTGGCTTAACATTCTCAGCTGTAATGGAGACCCATTGTCACAGTACTTCTCACCCTGAGGAGAGAAGTAATTCTTTTTTCTGCAAGTCATATCCAATGTGGTAGGGAAAGTGAAACATCATTCTGGTAGATAACTACAAATCCTTCCTCATTTCACCAGATCCTTCCTCATTTGCGAATTACTACCCTAGATAGATCCAAGCAATCTACCTATGTGACTCCATTTATCCCTACGCAATGGAATCTTTCATAATAGCCTCCATTAGTATGGATCTGAGAGTCTGCATTCCAAGGCCGGGTCAGTCATTTGGAGAAAGCAGTGAAGACCAAGGTGGATTCTGGCTCTAGTTTTGTCATACTTACGATGCAGCTAACCCTTCTGATGCGCATATGGCTGCTTATCACCAGCAGTTACCTGTGTTTCAGGCAGGAAAATAAGGGGAGAGAGAAGACCAAGAAGTCAAAGGAAATCACTAAGATTTTCCTCTTTTAAGGAGATTCCCAAGAAGTTCCAAGCAATGACTTCCACTAACACCTTATCGAAAAGATAGGAGATTGGGGCTGGGGATTTAGCTCAGCGGCAAAGCGCCTGCCTGGCAAGCGCAAGGTCGTGAGTTTGGTTCCCGGTACGGGAGAAAAACCAAAAAAAAAAAAAGAGAAAAGACAGGAGATTGAATATTTGCATACACTGTTGCTCACAGGAAAATCAGGATTCTATTAATAAAAAGACAGGAATGGCTGAGGAGTAGCCAGGCAGCTAGAAGTCTCTGTCAAATTTCCAAATTCAATTCAATTCATTATTGGAAAACTACTCTATAGACAACCTGCTACCATGGGAAATATGAAGAAAATAAGCACAGTTAGTGCCTGTATCAGAATGAAGAAGATTTGTGTGGTATCAGCAAAGAATTTTTACATAGCTCATCTTATATTTCCTTACTTATCTGCGAATTAGGAAATAAAACTTATTTTAATGATCTGACATAAGTTTGATATTTTCTGAAAAGCAAACTGCATGGTAAGAAGCCCATTTTACCATAAATTTATTATAACTCTGGAGTTTTCAGAAAAATGTTGCTTATCATTAACAGGAAAATATCTATTTTATAATTTATTAAATTTTAATACAGCACCAAATTATTACATGAAATAATAAGAGAGGAGAATACCACTCTGAAAATCATTTCTCCTTTTCCTTTTGTAAACTGATTTAACAGAATTTAGAATTTAATCATTTATGCTTCAGCTGCCCCCATGTGTAAGCGCCGCATTTCAGGTGGACAAAGCGCTGTTGTGTATTCCATTCCTCCTCTAGATGAACTTCCATTCTCTCTGCTAATCCCCTGCAGTGGCCTTTTTAAAGAAGTGTTACCTTCAAATTGTCTTATTACTATTTCCAGCATGGGCTTTACTTTTTCAAAGATTTCACCTATTTGGTTATAGAAATCTTGCTCAGTTTTTGCAGATTGCCTAATCTGAAACTTTCTATGTCCCCCCCAAACTGTGAGGTTCTATGAAATACATATATGTTGTCTGAGCTAATAGCTTGGGGCATTTCTTTCAGTTGACATTTGTGTAACTCTACCTAAAGAATCCTCTGAGTGCCTTGAGCTTTTTGCCTATGAGCCTCATGGCAATTCTGTAAGAAAAGTAGGCCAGTGTTTCAACCTTTGCTGTGTTGATCAGGAAATGGAGAGGTTCAGTTACTTGAGCAGATCACGCAGTGAGGAACCGGAACTATGTCTTAAACCTAGTTCTTCTCCCTCCTAGGTCCCTAACTGGGGCACTATGCTGAATTACTTGTGTTTGTGGGAGGAACACATCTTTTGTTCAAGCGTTAATGCCAATTAAAGGACTCACAGCCTGTGAAATCCAATTCCAAGAGACGCTATGAATAGGATAAATCTCCCAGAAGACTGTATACTCTCTTCTCAAGTTGATGACTATAAGTTTTTTAATACCACTTTCAGGGCTATTGTTGAATTTTA